CAGTGTTTCCCAACCCTGTTCCTGGACACACCAGCAGTCCATATTTTGGATGTGTCCCTTATTTGACCTATTAACTTCAGGTTTTGGAGCCTCTTCTAATATTCTGTTGAGTTGATTCAGGTGTGTTTGATTCAGGAAGAGGTTGAAAATGTGTAATATTGGTGTGCCTTCAGGAACAGTGTTGGGGAACACTGGCCTAGACAATACATTAGTACTCAGGAACAATCAAAGAATGCATTTGTGTGTGTTTTTTTTCTGTAGCTGCACTTACAAGCCAAATATGAGTTTCTTTCGGTTTAAAAGTGATTAATCATGCAGGCCTAGACCAATATTTCCCAACCATATTCCAGGAGGCACACCAACAGTACATATTTTGGATGTCTTCCTCATCTGACCTGACATTAACTGCAGGTTTTAGAGTCTCTTCTTATGTTCTGATGAGTTGATTCAGGTGTGTTTGATTGGGAAGAGGTTGAAAATGTGTACTGTTGGTGTGCCTTCGGGAACATGGTTGGGATACACTGGCCTAGACTATACATTTGAAGTCAGGAAGATTCAAAGACTGCATTTGTGTGTGTTTTATCTGAAGCAGCTCTTAAGTGCCAAATATGAGTTTCTTTTGGTTTAAAAGTGATTAATCGTGCAGGCCTAGACCAGTGTTTCCCAACCCTGTTCCCAAAGACACACCAACAAGTTCATATTTTGGACGTCTCCCTTATCTGACCCATTAACTTCAGGTTTTGGAGTTTCTTCCAATGTTTTGCTGAGTTGATTCAGGTGTGTTTGATCAGGGAGAGGTTGAAAATGTGTACTGTTGGTGTGCCTTCAGAAACAGGATTGGGAAACACTGGCCTATACTATACATTTGTATTCAGGAACAATCAGAGACTGCATTTGTGTGTGTGTGTTTTTTTTCTGTAGCTGCACTTACAAGCCAAATATGAGTTTCTTTCTGTTAAAAAAATGATTAATTGTGCAGGCCTCAACTAGTGTTTCCCAACCATGTTCCTGGAGACACACCAACAGTCCATATTTTGGATGTCTCCCTCATTAACTTCAGCTCTTGGAGTCTCTTCTAATGCTCTGATGAGTTGATTCAGGTGTGTTAGATCAGGAAGTGGTTGAAATTGTGTACTGTTGGTGTGCCTTCAGGAACAGGGTTGGGAAATGTTTTATAGGAAATGCATGGATGTTTTCACTAAAACTCTTTGAAACGTCTGTACACACATTTCACGCAAAAAAAAAAAAGTGTCTAAGCATGTTTAGTGAGTACATTTGAATTTTTTCTCTGCAGCAAATCGCAGTCCCACGAAACGACGAATGGACCCGCTTTGTGCGGACGCTGGTGGAGATCAACGAGAACCGTGATGATGCGGAGGAGCTGGCCGCACAACGCCTCGCCGCTTGATCAGAAAGCTGTAATCATCTCTCTCTTTTTGGAAATGAAATGATTTGTATGTGCAAACCTTTGATTCTGCCTTCTGTTTGGAATCAAAATACGAAGCATTGACCGTAGGTGCGATTCAAAGCACACCAGAGCAGAAGGCCTCGCAGACCAGAAGCCTTAACATTTGCATGCAAAAAAAACAAAACAAAAACACACAATGAATGTTTCAGTTTCTATCCAGGTAACGCTGAGCACAATGATCTCTCAGCTTAATATGCACAGCCAAATATGAACCATACACACTCATTAAACCTGCGTCTCACTCATAGTTCATCCACAAAATTGATAAAGAAAACAGTTTACAATCCTAAATGTGCACAGATTTGAGTATTAAGGATTTTGCATTACAGCTTTTTGTTGTTGTAATACAGTACATATTAACATACTTAAAGGGTTAGTTCACACAAAAACTCCAATTTACTCCATTTATTCATCCTCGTTCACCGAAAAATGAAGTTTACTTAACATTTACTCACCCTCAAGTGGTTTTTAGACATTTACAAGTCTCTTGTTGAACCAAAAAGCAGTCATTGGCGTTCATAGTAGGAACAAAAACATACAATAGAAGTCAATTTTTGATTAATTTACTCCATTTACTTATCTTCAAGTGGTTCCAAACCTTAATGAGTTCTTTATTCTGTTGAACACAAAAGAAGATATTTTGAAGAATGTTCGAAACTGGTAACCATTGACTTGCATAGTCGGAAACACAACCACTCGTTACAAGTTTCCAATGTTTTTTCGAAATTACTTTTGTGTTTAACAGAATAGGACACTCTGACAGGTTTGGGACAAGTAATAAGTGAGTAAATGATAACAGAATTTCCAGTTTTGTGTGAACTATCCCTTTAAATGGTAGACCTCACGTAGAAACGGTCAAATTATAGGCTTTTCTATCAAATGTAGATGCTTTCCTTTGATTTTGCGATCGAAACATGTTTAAAATGATCCTTTTTTGTCAGATTCACCCACACATTTCTACTCTTTTGAGAATACTAAAGATCTACCTCTTTTAGATCTTGCCTAGCGGGACACACTCAGCATTATGAACTGAGTTTGGTGGAGATTTCTGCTGTCTAGCTGTGGACCAAATGCTGGAGTAATTTGTAACTTTCAACTGTTTGTTCTTATGTGGCTCTTGCGCTTTTGTTTTGTTAATAATCCACCTCAGCAGAGGCACAATCACGTATTTATGATACATATCGATATACTGGATTGATTTTCCAACTGTTTCAAATGGATACTTCACCTAAAAATGAAATTCACTCAACATTTACTCACCCTCAAGTGGTTTTTAGACATTAACGTACCTCTTGTTGAACCAAACTGCAGCCATTGACGTTCATAGTAGGAACAAAAACATACAATGGAAGTCAGTTGCTACCAATTATGACAGCATTTAGATTTTTGGGTGAACTATCCCTTTAAAGTATCTTATTTGGAGATCAATGTCTTCCGTTTTTGTGTTTCGCACCACTTTGAAACTAAAATGGTAACTTATGCAGGGCCTCTGTGAATGTCTTTGTATTTTTCTAAGCCAACCCTTTGGTGAATCTGCTCTGATTTACCTCCATCAGTTTGAAGTCATCAGTCTTTCCTGTAGTATTTGCGATGAGAAGGTAGGTTTGTGAGGATTTCTGGATGTTGCTCCTAACAGTGTTCCTCATGTTTAAATGAATGTCCAATAAATTCAAAGCCATTTAAACTGATCTTTTAAATATGTCTGTTTTTTTTGTTCTCCCTTTAAATTAAAACATTTGTCGATAACAGATATAATGGTGTAAAAAAGTGTTTCCCCCTCACTAATTTCCTTTTTTCCATGTTTGTTTACATTTCAGATCATTCATTCACTCATTTTCCTTTGACTTAGTGTCTAATCTATCAGGAGTCACCACAGCGAATGAACCGCTAGCTATTCCGACATATGCGAATGCCCTACCAGCCACAACCCAGAACTGGGAAACACCCCTATACTCTCACATTATAACACAATATACACTGTGTGTGTCATACACAATTTTTATCCAATGGAGGACATGCAAACTCCACACACAAATGCCAACTGGCCTAGTCGGGACTTGAACCAGTAACCTTCTTGCTGTGAATCAACAGTGCTTACCACTGAGCCACCGCGCCACATGTTTCAGATCATCAACAAATCTATATATTAAGAAATAACACAAATGAGCGCATTATGCAGTTTTTAGCCATTCACTCCCACACCCTGTGCCGAACTGGGACTATTTTGGCCTGGGACAGTTATTGCACATCAGGCCACCTGAGTGATTGGTGAATGAAGAGCAGGGGGAGAAAGGCGGTCGATAAGGGAAGAGTGGGGGTAGGGGTGATGTGATGGAGCGATTGGCAAGTAAACCATGGGGACTGGGGTCAGGCTAGATTCACGGTGGTGTGCCAGATTGACCATCAGGCAACCGGGAAATCCAACCCAGGCTCATTCTGAAAACGTAGTCCCGTGGACGTTTCTGGAGACTGAGAATTACGTGGCCGGAGGTACGTATGGCTGCATTTCATTCTTTGAGCGAACACTACGGGGCGGTGTGACGCCGTTCCCTTCCACGCTTGCGGGCTGACCACTTACCTCCATGTGGAGGGCTTCCCCACCTCAACCAGTTTGTCTGGTTTGCTCGTCGTGTACGTCGCGGACTTGATGGCACAGAGAGGAGCTGACAACGATGACCGGGCTCGAGTCCAGGGAGGAGCGGTTCCAGAAATCAGGTAAGACAAAAACAGAATCCAAAAAATAAAGTGAACGAGTGAACAACAGGGAGAGAATGTGATCAAGTCCGAAAATCAAAGGTCAATGGTCAAAATCAGACGAGGGCTTTTCTTTTTCTGGACGCCTTTTTTTTTTTCTTTTTGTAAACTGTTGGTTGGGTTTTAGGGAAGTAAGCGGGGGGCAGGTCAATCGGTAAAACTGCTTGAGTTTAGGGAATGAGGAGGAGGGTGGGTCGGCCGGTCGCCCAATCATTCAGCCAGTCTGACAGACGATCGTTCGACACCGGCCTCTTGTGGGTTTACGGGAGAACGGCGCTCGCGAGAGGCATTTGACATGCGAAAAAGTGCGCACAGCAGCCTTCGCGGATTCGCAAAAACAAAAACCGCACAAATACATACCTCCCGGGACGTATTTCGCGGCCTCCAGAAACATCCGCTGGACTACGTTTCCAGAATGAGCCTGGGTTGGGGAAATCTCCAGGTGCTCCAGATGACTAGTCCACACCTGTTCGCAATCAAGAAATGTTATAAATATAACCTGACCCTATAAGCTGACAGAGTGAAGTAGACCAAAAGACCCTCAAAAGCTAGATGTTATGCTGAGAAGTTCAAAAACAAATGAAAAAATAATAATTGAGATCTGCCAGTCTGAAGAAGTTTACAAAGCCATTTCCAAAGCTTTGGGACTCCAGCGAACCACAGTGAAAATGTACATCTACTACACTACATTACTAATAGATTTTTCAAGAGTTCACACTTAGCTGATGATTTACAAAGCTTGTTTGGCATGCTAAGGGAACGTAAGGGATTAGACAAGCTTGATTGTTATGTATGTTGAATGTCTTTGGATGGTGGGAGGAAACCGGAGAACCCGGGGAAAACCCACGCGGACACGGGGAGAATATACAATCTCCTCACAGAAACACCCACTGGTCCTGTGGAACCAGGGCCGGCAGTGTTCTTGCTGTGGGGCTCACAGTGCTAACCACTGGGCCGCCGTGCCGCCCAAACAGAGGTAAAGGAGGAGAATAGGGGAGGAAGGGGGGTTTCTTCCAAACGAAGATAAAGTGAACTGAAAACTGAGGCTATTTATAGTAGCTTAGGGCTCATATGATTGGAAGATAGTGATTAGCAAATGCGAGACTGGCCGTTATAAATCATAAGCATGTGATCCTCTCGAAATTAGTTTATGAAAAAACTTCACTTAATAAAGTCAATTTAATGTTAACTTAAAATTACCAAACTCAAAATCAATGTAAGTGTTAGTGATAATAATGCATTTATTAAGTGTACTTAAGTACAACTTTTGGGAAAATGTACTTCTACTACAATAAATTACTAATAGATTTTTTATATATTAACTTATTTTAAACTTAGGATTAGTATGTAAACAGTGTACTAAAAATCAACTAATGTTTAAAGCATTTAAAGCACACTTGAACTCTTTTGGATGTTTTTTCTGTAGTGTACTTTATTGTAGTACTGGTATTTAGTATACTTTTGTCAAGTGTACTAAAGTCCTACTGAAGTATAAACATACTTTTAATTAGTATATTTATAGTGTAAAACCATCAAACTTTTATTTAACACAAAAAATAACAATGTAAATGTATTTAAGTGTATTTTAATTGCATTTAATTATATATTTATTTTTTCACCTGGGTGACAAACATGTCTAAAAAATAGGAAATCCTTAAGGGGGTAAACACTTCTTCACACCACTCTATGTTCATATGGCCATACATCAGATTTCTGCATGTGTGTCAAAAGGAAAACAACATCCACCAGCAGAAACTAACTGGGCCAGCTAACCAGGCAAGCCTCAGGCCGCTTCAGATCCAACTGGACAACCGAATGCAATATTACAGACAGTGTCCTCCAAAGTGAATGTAACCCAATCTCTGCAGAAGGTCACTGGAGTTCCAGCAGACTGTGGAGATGATCTGAAAACACGCTCTGGGTGGAGAAACAAGAGTCTTTCAATCTCGCACACCTTCCAGAGCGCAATTAGAGGAGTCCTGGAAGGCTTTTTCCTCAACTGTGAAACCTCTAATTTTACCGTGGTGAGACGTGGCGAGTGTGTTTGTGTGGCTCTGAGGCTTCTCGGCCTTCATTTTCCAGCAGCAGTCTATCACACCGCTGTCTGCCGTCCAGCCCGATCGCACCGCCACCCGCATGCAGGTTTTGATGACATCAGCAGGGGTCACCGAAACACCTTTACAACAAAAAGTATTACAATGCAAAGGAGCTGCAGTTCGGCCCGTTCTGCCATGCAAGATTCAAAAACCACATCTACATAACACTGAGAGCAATTTCAAAAAGGTGAGCTGCCATCCCAAAAGTCCTTTTTTTCTCGCACCAGAGGGCATCACCATTTCAGCATTCATGTTTTGATATTGACCCTATGGAGATGGTGTAGAATGGAATATCTGTCAGGCATTATCTAACAATTGTGCTTTGTTTTCGTTCCCATGGTGACCCGCCGATTACCTCACTTTTAATTTAACGTTACTTGATTATGGCTAATGAAAATGTAGCTTTGCCCACATAATACATAATTAGGTAACACTGTGACTTTAGTTTAAGTAACTATTCATACTATTTACTGCTGGCTTATTACCTGCATATTACTATAGTATTAACTGTTTATTACCGCTTATGATCTTATTTTACATCCCTCGTCCTAGCCAATACCCAAACGTAAACCCAACTACTACCTTACTAACTATTAATAAGCAGCTAATTAGTTGTTCATTAAGCTAAAAGTCATAGTTAATGGTTTGTTAATAGCGTGAACTGTACAATAACGTAAAACGTGACCATAAATTACATTGTAAAATATATTACACTAGATATTTTAAATACATTTTTTTCTAAATTTCATCTGATTGTGAAACTGATTGTTTTTATCAATAAAATTCGAAATAATCAAATATTGGGATAAAGATATATATGAGCAATATCACACGAGTAGCAGTGCGATATGGCTGTATATCGGCACTGGTGGGAGGCGTGCGCGTTAGTGCCCCCACCAGTGCCAATATACAGCCATATCGCACTGCTACGAGTGTGATATTGCTCATATATATCATATATATATAATATATATATAAATCTAAATATATATATATATATATATATATATATATATATATATATATATATATATATATATATATATATATATATATATATAGGCCTATTTGGACACCCCTGCCATAATGCAATTCTAAAACAAAAAAAATAATAAACCACAATTTTTTACTTATTTTTTTTACATCGCCCTTATTATGGATGTTTTTCCCCCACATTCTTGAGAATATCTTGTTTTGTGTTCAACAGAATAAAGAAATGCATCAAAGTTTAGAACCACTTGAGTAAATGGTGAGGAAACCATCATTTTTGAGTGAACTGTAATCTCAAAGATGAGATCTCAGCCTCTGGATCAGATCACTGTTTGTTTGCGAGTCTACAGCCAGTGTGTGTGTGTGTATGTGTGTGTGTGTGTGTGTTTGTGGGCCTCTGTGTTATTCTGCCCGTATGTTTTTCGGCGTGATTATGTATGTGTTTGTGGCCAGTGGTCTTCCCCTCTCTGCTTGACTTACACTGCCGTGGTTTGGCATCATCTCGCGTCTAACCGCAGACTTCTTCCACCGGCCTCCTGCAATAAATCCTCTCAAAGCTGTTCCCGGATCAGCAACATGATGGTTTCTAACAGTCGAGGTGGAGCAGTCTGGTTCTGGCCTGGTTTGCATTAGGATTCGCAGACTTCGGTTTCGGATATTAATGTGTTCATGAAGAATTCAGCGGAACTGAAAACATCTGGGAAATCATCCACAATTAAAGGGATTTCCAAAGCATGTCGAGTTTCCCTGTGAGACTAAAGACGGACACTGGATTGACTTTAATATCCAACACAATCTCAGGACAGGGCTACATGGTGGCTCAGTGGTTAGCACTGTGCGCTCACAGC